CGCTGCAACCATTGTAAGTGCAAGCTGGTTACCAAGCACCCAGATTGTGATTACGTGACTGCAGGGGCACTGTGACAGTCATAAGTGCGAGAACTGATCATAAGTAGCTTTTTTCAGTGCAATTGTAACTCTGAATGGTTGCTAAACAAATTGTTGTTAAGCGAGGACTACGTGTAATAAATACTTTCTTAGGGCATGAAATAGTAAAATTAGGAATTAGGAACCTAGGGAAGTACACATACTATATATTAGGAACACATGTGTGTTGGGTATATATCATATGGTATTTAGAATGCTTTTGAGAACAAACATAGGTTTAGAGGGGAAAAAAAGTTTATTTGGTACTTTTACTTCATATTGTGTCAGGCTACCAGGTGAGAGGTGGAAAGCTGCCTGCTAAATAATGCAAACAAGAAACTACTTGTTTATACTAATACAACCTGGCTTATATCCAAACTGCTGCTTTTTTTCCTGTGTTGCTGAATAAAATAAGAGAAAAATCTAGAAGCTGTGTGGTCTTTCCATCAGATCTTGAAACCATTTGAAGTGCGCATCCAGTGACAGCCAGGAATCTGCATTAGACCTTTCATTTAGTTTGCTATGTGCATGTCTCATGTTTCTGTCTGTGCAGAAAACAGCGCATACTCTCACAGGTATTATATATTTTGTGTTGTGTTAATGAGTACAGTTTTACAATCTTTAATTTTTCCTTGATAAGCTTGAATCTCTGTAAGATCCTGAGCCAAGTAGTAAATTAGCAATCTGTAGCAGATTGGCATCACATTTGTTCTTTGCCTGAAGCACTGCATCTTTAGATATGTTAAATGGTCTAAGTAATTTGGGAGCACCTGTTTTATCAAGGCAATTCTGGCTTTCTTTCATCAGGGAATGGTTGCATGTTAATACTGATACTTTAAAAGGGGGGCTATATTTGAACATTTTTGTTCTTAATAGAGTTTGTTTTTGTCTATCTCTTGTAAGGATTAACCTATCTTTGCAAAATGGAAGAGGAAAGGCTGAATCCTTTAGCACTATATGGCCTGGAGATGGCACTGTAGAAATTGTTTCATTTTTTTTTTTTTGGCCTATTTGTACATCTTATTTGCCAGAAGGGTAGTACAGGCTGTAGCTCCCTATCTCTCTCACATACCTAATATAGGTAGTTGCATATTGAACTAAGGCACAAACGCAAGATCCAGGGGACTTCTGGGAAATGAGGTTTGAGATCTTCATCCTTTCACCCTGCAGGCCCAACCATGTCACTAATGTCTTTTGTTACTTACCTGTGTTCCTCTAAATTATGGGTAAGAGAAATAACTCACTGCTAAAATACTTGCACTGAATACAGAAGGCTCCAAGTTGAATCTCTGGCATCTTTGGAGAACCACTTCCAATCAATGGCAACAATTCTAGATTTGATGAAACAAAAGTCTAGCTCAAAATAAATGTGTTCCAACATTTCTGAATTTTACGGTACTATAAACAAGTTCTTCTATTATAACAAACAAGTTAATACAGCTATTATTACTGTGCTAGTAGTTCTGGTTAAAAAGTTGTTTCCAACTGCCTCTGTACTATACTTGATACTCATCTACACAGATTCTCATCCCATCTTTCTTTATTACAGTCAAGACTAGTAAAAAGTAAGTTGAAACAACCCAAGTACAATCTAAAATATAATAACAGTTTAACAGTTTAATACATAGTGTGCTTCTATTAACAAATCTGGATATCATGCAGCCATATGGTTAAGGCTCAAAACTTAGCAATTAAAAAGGTGATTTCAGGACACCTGTCATTTAAGAAAACCTCTAGGTAACACTGAGCAGTGCAAATTAATTGATTCATTTTAATTTTTGGTGCCTTTGAGTCAGTGTTGACTCCTGGTGACTGCCTGGACTAGTCCCTGCAGTTTTCTTGGCAAGTTTTTTTTTTCTTTTTGAAGTGATTTGTCATTGCCTCTTTCCTAGGACTGACAGAGAGTGACTTGGCCCAAGGTCACCCAGCTGGCTTTGTGCCTAAGGCGGGACTAGAACTGACAATCTCCCAGTTTCTAGGCTAGTGTCTTAACCACTACACCAAACTGGCTCTCACATAGAATTTACACTTAGAAAAACATGTTTTAGAATTCTATATTCACCAGAGGTGCGAGGGCATTGCCTACATCCTGCAGGAATCCATTATATCTGCCTTCCATAAAAGGGGAAGACATTAAAACATCTCTGGAAAAAGCTCATCAGTAATGGGTATAAGAAAACTGAAATAATAGCATACAGCCTGTGGTTCTCTTGATTCACTGATGAGTTGATATAACCTGGAGGTGGCTGCCAGCTTATGCTTCAGTTCAATATCTTCTAATCTTTGCTTAATAAGTTCCATGCTTGTGTTGTAACCAATATTTTAGAAGAAAAGTAGGGAACTACATACCATCTACATTCCAAGTTATCACGTACCAAGTAGGGCAGAAAATCTTGTGGAAGATAAACAGATTCTAAAATAAGATTAGTTTCCAGACTCTTATTTCAGTAATCAGCCCAGCCTTTATTTTAAGTATAGCACTGAAGACACTTCTGGGTGTAGAGAATGTAGCTCTCAGAAAATACAATTGTATTCTTTTATATGATTGGCATTTTATGTCAGGGCGCAGTTACACACTGTAATGAAGCTGTACTACTGATTTTGCAACAAATAATCTGATGGCCACAGGTATTTAATGCCCACCCTGGTGTCTAAAAATTCTTAAATCAGCTACCATACTTCTCTGAGCTGCTGTGGTGGCACAATTGATATGGCCTGCTCAATGGCTAGAGGTTTGAAAAACTGCTCCTAGATATTTAAGCAGTTATCGGTTCTATTGGTTGTCTGTCTATATGCCAGTTGTACTTTTTAAGTCTATTGGAGAATAGCTTTAATCTGGTTTTTCTATAATTAATGACCAATTGATCTTTGGTAGAAAATTGGCTCAGAACTGTGAGTCAGGGAAAGAATTACAGCATCATCTACATATAACAGGACAGGCAGGTGTTTGTCTATTACTTGGAGCATGTAGATCACAAGCTCTCCAGCAGTTTATAAGTGAATTAATATAGATTTTAAATAGGTGTTGGGCCAAAATGCACCATTGTCTCACTCCTTTCATTGATATTACTGAATTAGTTAGCTGCCTGCTCTTGCTATAACATACTCTAAATCTAGAATGCCCATGCAATTTTTAGAATAATAGCAGCAAGTGTCCACCACTAGTAGATTGCTGCAGTTTGTTCCATAATGAGGGTCTTGAGAAAAAACAGAACTCTACAAAAGCCGCAAATAGCTGTGTACTGTACAGGTAAAACACTTATCAGCTGAATGTTGGAGGAGAAGGCAGTGGTCTAAGTTGATTTCTCTTCCCTAAAACCTGCTTGGTCGTCTTCCAAGATGCTATCCTGCTCTAACTAATCATGCAGCTTCTCACATAGATGCTTCACATATAAATTTACTAATTATACTTAGGAGGCTTATTGTTCTATAGTTGGTGGGTTAGGAAAATCTGATCTGCAAGGTGTGCTAAAACACAGAATAGCTTTCTGGTGCTTGGAGAATACAATACCACTACTTCACAAGATGCAGGAAGAAATGGCATGTGTGATATTAGATTATGTTAATAGTATTATTCATACCATGGTAATAATGTCAAGCTCACTGAAAGTAAACTGAAACTTTACATTTAGCAGTTCCTCCTCCTCCCACCTTTTGGTATAATTTGGCTTAACTGTTGTATTGCATCACCTAAAATTAATCTTCACCTTTGCTAATATACATACGTCTTTATGACTTTGTTTACACAACACTTGGCTTTTCTTGAAACTCATCCTATATTTTTATTAACTTTAAGACATGGCATGTGATTCAATCAAAAATTATTCAGAAGCATTTATATTTGACATATATGACAAAATTTGAGCAGCACACACATCCTCAGGCTAGGTTTGTTAAGATTATTTAATTATGCTATTTTAACTCCAAATTATGACAAACTGTTAAGTTGTATCACTGTTATAATGAGGTAAACTGTTAAACCTCATGCTTTCAGATCTCCAGGGCAGGGTGGTCAGGATTAGTTTCAAGAGTTAAGATTAGTCTGGAATCTGTCTTTCCCAGGTCAAAACCTCTTTCCCATTGTGTATGTTTAGCTTACTTTTTCTGTTCCCCAAGTCGACCAGGACACTCCTCCCCGTACCCCCCCCTCCCCCACTTGCCCTCAACAATGAGAAAGTGCCAAGCGGCCATGCCAGGATCAGGCGGCTGCTCTTGCCCAGGTATCTGCGTCTGCCCCTCTGGTGATGTGTCTCCAAGCCAGGACTTATGTGCAGAGGTCAACCGACAAACGCAGGATGGGCTGGTTTATCACATTTTCAAGCGAGCAATAATACACATGGTTCGCTTAAGAGCGGGGAGATCAAACAATGACTATGCCCAGAGTTTAAAGTGATCCAACTGCAGCGGGGACACTTCCAGCTTTCACCTGCGCCCCGCCGAACGAAAGGATCAAGCGGCGCCGAGCATTTTTCCTGTCTAAGAGATGCTAAGTAGACTAAACGCCACCGACCGCGCTGCCAAGGGAGCGCTCGATTTTTCCGCTTGCTTTCTCTCTCCCGGCAGCGGAGTTGGGATAACTCGGCTGAGCGGAGAGGGAAAAATCCCGCTTCCCCTGCCACCCCGCGACAGATGACCTACCTCGGTCAACCAACTTTCCACCGGATTGGCTGGGCAACGAGGAAGGCAAATTCGCTCCAGGAATTGCAGATCAAATTGGCGCGCGCGCATGAAACAGGTGGGAGGACCGCCTTTGTGGCGGATGGGCGGATCCTCTTCTGGACGGCCATCTAGGAGGTCGGGGCCAGCCGTGCTGCTTCGTAGCGGCAGATTCTTGCTCGCAGTAACAGAGGTAATCTTTTTCCCCTCCAGCGAGGTCTCGAGCCGGAAGGAGTGAAGCCGCTGAGTAAGTCTGTGCGCGCGGCCGACAGCGAGCTGGAGGGCTTCTGTGGCATAACCCTGCAGCGCTGGGGGTTGTGGTTGCTCCGCGCTCAGGCTAGGACCCGAGAAATACTCGGGAGTACAATAGATTTCACTTGGTCTGTGTATGTATGTGTACACACATACATGGATGGAAGGATAGAATGGTCTGTTGGGTCGCTATCTGCAGGCTCTTTAAGTTCTCGCTGTTCCTCGTCAAGTCACCACTTCCTTTACTCCAAAGTACAGAGTTACGTCGCCTGAAATGGCTGGTAAACACGAGAGCTGCTTCTCTTTGGTGAGTGGGAGATAGTGAACGTCCTTTCGTTTTTAAAGGAGTGGGGTGCACACGCTCTTACGGGTAGGCAAGATCTTGTTGAAATTAGCGGGGCAGTTTTTGAGCAAATTTCGCCGGGGTAATGTTAGACGTTTTGCCTAATCGATATGTTGGGCTGTTTGTTTAATTGTTTAAAAATGTATATGGCCCCTCCTTTTCACACAGTATAACACTGGGTGGGTAACAAATCAAACCCATATAATACATTAAAAATACAAACAACTCCCTGCCCCCAGTTAAAAACATCACCCTCTTACCAGGCACCATAACAACCTCACACCGAACTGCACATATGCTTATTATATTGTACTGTTGTGATTCCAGAAAGCTGGATTTATCTGTGAAGTAACTAGATGGACGATATTCTGAAACTGGGGAAATAAGCTGTTGTGTGATCTGGTTGCAAAACTGGCTATTGAGCTGAAATGTAGTAAGTAAATATTAGCTTTAGCTTATCTACTGACTCTCAGTCTGGAGAAGCTAAGTATTCTTTTTTCTTTTCTTTTTCTTTTGCAAAAGAAGCCTTCTATAGTAAAAATCAGGACTAATAAAAATTATATTAAACGATGTTTGATGGATTCTAGATAAGTAGAACTTTTTCAGGAGTTCTGTGGATCACACTGCTGGGTCTTATTTATAAGTAAGCATGCATAAGACTAGCTACTGAAAGTGCTTAATTGCACTGTCTTCAAACAATCAAAATGACACCTCTATACATCGACATCACCAGATGGAGTATATAGAAATCAAATTGACTATATTATTGCTTAACAGAAGTGAAGGATCTCAGTTGTAGCATCAAAGACATGACCAGGGGCTGACTGTGGAACAGAACACGAACTGCTCATGTGTAAGTTCCAAGTTAGGCTAAAGAAGAAGAAGAAAGCCAGATAGTTTCCACAATATGATCTTGAACATATATGCATTTTTAAGGAGAATGTCAGGAATCGCTTTGAAATCTTGAACTTTGTTGATGGAGAACCAGAGGAATTACGGAATTAACTTAAAAAGTTGTTAAGGATGAATGTGAAAAGAGTCTGCCAAATATGAAGAAAGAAAAGAAAACTGTAATGCTGTGATCAAAGTTCTATCTGCTTCTGCAGTACACATGAACAACAGGTGGAGCTTTGATTGCACCATTATTGCACCATCTTGACTTTTTTTAACCATAACCGGTGGATTGATTATTTATTTGTTTATTTGTTTGTTTGTTTATTTATTTTGTGCTATTGAGTCAGTGTTGATGAGTCCCTGCAGTTTACCAGTCCCCTGATAAATAATTCAGCAATGCTGGTGACAAAACCCTGAAAAACTCCTAGCAATACCTATCTGTAGTTATATGATGGGCATTTGAAGAGTCAGTTGAAGGATTCATATGTACAACCAACTGTTACGCATATTCCCTGCACTTCAGGAGAATGTGCATGTAAACTGTGAAGAGGGAATTGCACACTTCCTGCCATTTTTGACCCGATACATATGATTTTTGTAATCTCTGTTTAAGGGTAGATAAACCAGTTCTTCATATGGTACATACCATTCACTGCCTAGTATGTTGTACTTTTATTTGTATTTAGCCAAATGCCGCCACAATATATGTACAATTAAATTAATTGCAAATTTAACCACAAATTATTTAATTTACTGGGATTTACCCGTGAAGTTTTCTTGCTAATTGGGAAACCTTTAGGGAATAATCACTTAAAAATGAAGCGATTAAATCTTTGGGAGATTTGTCCCAGGACTGCTTTAAAATAAATCCATATACAGGGAATGATATCTTCTACACACTTAATATCATATTGCAAAGCTTTTCTTCCAAAGAAATGTTAGAAAGCCCTCTTCTTACAAAAGCAGAGAACATTGTTCGAAATCCATCCAGTTAAAGCCCAACACATTTTAAGACAAAATGAAAATGGATACAATGTTCTAATTTATTTCTTCTTGAACAACAACAATAAAAGTGTCTACAGTACAATGAAAACTGCAAATATTCACTGCCCTATTTTCACTTCCATAATGATCATAAGTCTAGTTCACCAGGACAAGTTAAGAATCATCTGTTCAAACATCTCCCATGCTAAGGTTATGTTGCTTTACCAGAATCTAGCAATCCCTAACCACCTACTATCTTTGCTACTCCATCCAATTTGATTGGGGAGGCAGGCATCACCTGTCCTTTTCAGGTTGTGCCAGAATTTCAGATAGGACAGATTTATTCTAACTACAATAGATGAGAGACTGGATTCTGCCATGAGGAAAGCTGCAGGTATACTGAATGAAGCCCCAGAACCTTTCTCAGAAATATATTCTGAAGAGTTTCTAAGGTATCACCAGCAACTGCACCTGAATATCTGCTCTGTACATAATATGACTGAAAGCTAAGATTTGGTTAATACTTGTCCATAAAGATATTCCAGGGCTGTAGATAGGACTGAGAAGTTTAAGGGGTGGGGATCAACAGTATAACACTTCCATTCTATTGCCAAGAAGAAAACATGGATATGTCCATGTAGTCACAGGGGTTAAACTCAAGGAAAACATTGCCTCTTACTTTGGCTGAAAAATCTTTAATAATAAGATCAATTAACTGGCAACACTTATGGCAACTTGTATTTGGGTAATCATTCTTCTGTACATTACCTTAAGTTGCAAGATCACTTTTAAAACAAAGATTTATATGAAACTCAACCCTAGATACACCTAGTTGTGGGACTTAGATCAGGGGATGTAAAATCTAACAGGCTAGGATATGTTGGAAGGCTGGGTTCCTTCCAAGGATAGATATAGGTGGCAATATCTAGCCCCAAATGTCAACTAAATCTGTTGCTCACCTGGTCAGAATGCTGAGGGTGATTCTGAGATGGTGAAAAAATCAGGGATGCATGTAACTTGACATTGACATTGAACCAAGTGTCAGAGGACTGGAAGGTGACAGCAATTTTTAAAAAGGGACCTAGCACTTGTTGTCTTTTCTTAGTTACACTGACTTAAGGCATGGAGCCAGGTTGCTAGAAATTATTAGGTAATCCATGGTATATAATTTATAGGCTGAGCAAAGTGCATATTGCCCAAGAAAATCACTTCTAACAAAGTTGATTTGCATTTGTAAGTTAAGACTGTTTGAAAGACGTGTCAGACTTAGGCCAGCTAAATTACCTTTTTGTATTGTTAAAGGATCTAAGCATAAATTATAGTTCAGTAATATCTTCAGGAAGACAAATATTAAATGTCATTGCAACCAGCTCTGATATTAAAATCCCCACTTATTAAAATATATGCACAGGGAACTTAGGCAAAGAGCAAGAAAAGATTGCTTTTGATTCCAGGTTTGAGAGACCTGCAAATAGAGCTGCTGAGGGGGAAGACAGAAATTAATGCATAATGGGGAAAATGGTCAAAAATTAACAAGGCAGGTACGGTATTCTCAAATTGAAATGATTGTTTCACAGTTTGAACTCAGAGGCTAGAGGCTATAAAAAGACCAAATCTTTTGGCCTGCTACCTCTAAGGTTAGCTACCTCTGCCACAGGGGATAATATAGAGCAGTGTTTCTCCACCTCAGCAACTTTAAGATGTGTGGATTTCAACTCCCAGAATTCCCCAGCCAACTCAACCATAGTTGGGGAATGTAAAATTCCCATAACATCAGTGTCTCCTCTAAAAGAATTATATCAAATCAAATCTTTTAATACGGTCATAGGCCAGCATAAATATCAGATTATATGTTTAAAAAAGCTTTGATAGCAGAGAACTATAAACCAATTAGCCTATTGAACACCATCAGCAAACTATTTGCCAGGTATTTATTCATTAAGCTCTTCAACTCTTCTATGATAACTTCCTTGGTGACTGGTTTTCTGTAGCGGTTTATTTTCTTATTCTATTTGTCATGCTGGTCAAAGACAGTAATAAAGGAATCTGTCAATACCTATAATTTATACACGTTGGATAAATTGGATAGTTTGTGTTTTAAATCCCTCTTCAATTAACCTTATATCCAGTACTACAGGTAGTCCTTGCTTAACAGTGGTAATTGGGACTGGACTTTCTATCGCTAAGCAATGCAGTCATTAAGCACAACTTCATGGAACTACATCACTTAGCGATGACATCCTGGCAGTCCCTGTTGCTGGCATTAAGCGAGGTTGATGGGTCTTAAAGCAAGGACCTCCTCACGATTTCCTGCCAGCTTCCAACAAGCAGAGTCAATGGGGAAGTTGGCAGGAAGTTGCAAGTTCCTGGCGGCTCCCAAGCAGGCCAGTGGGTAAGTGGCTGCTGCAGTGCAGCGCGAGCATGGCCAGGCAGGGGTGAGCTGCTGCCAGGTGCGGGAGGGCACACAGGCAGCTGCCACTGTACTGTGCGAGCAGCCGGGCATGCAGTACGGAATGTGGGTGGGGGGATGCTGCAGCCAGGTGTGCATTACGGCTGGGTGTGCATGCTTCAGAATATGAGATCCTTGGGAAATCGTACTCCATAGCTGGGCTCCTCAGGAGAAAAAGCAGTGGGAGTGGGAGCAACCCAGAGTCACCCGTTCGGGGAGATGGGCAGCATACAAATTTAATAATAAACAAACAAACAAACTTACAGGAGTGATTTGCAACCTTTGTTGCCAGCTTCCCCACTGATGTTGCTTGAGGGAAGCCAGCGGGGAAGGTTGCAAATGGTGATCACGTGACCGTGGGATGCTACAACCATTGTAAGTGTGAGCCAGTTGCCAAGCGGCCAGGTCACAATCACATGACCACAGAGGTGCTGGGATGATCAGAACCTCAAGGACCAGTCCTAAGTACCACTTGTTCACCTCTGTCATAACTTCAAATGGTCACTGAACGAGTGGTCATTAACCAAGGACTACCTGTAATCCTAAAAGTAGCCAGATGGGAAAAAATCTCAGTATAAAAGGCAATGGCTAGTGGAGATAGCTTCTTTCAATAAGACAATGAACAGGGCAAATAATTGGATTCCTAACCAAATCTATCTCTTTGGTTTTAGAAATGATTTCATGATAAACCATAAAAATACATTTTTTTATTTGGCAGCAGGGAAAGTACCTGTTCTGAAAACACATTCTGAGATTTTCTCTGCAGTAATAGGAACTAAAATTTTCTGATTCTAATCTAAAAAACTATTACACTTTTTTTTTGTAATAAACTAAATAAACTCATAAACTCATAATCTATCAGAATATACCAGGTTCTGAGTTTATGATGCACTTCTGATTCAGAGAACTTCTTGATCTTCTTGGCTGACATATTAAACAGACAAAAAAATCGCCTTCATAACTGTTCTTTTAAATGATGGGTATACTTTCTCAACTCACACTTCTGTGTGTGCCTAAACTAGCCGCCTTCAACCAAATGATCTGGAACAGAGCTCCCAACATTTGACTGGGAATACTGAGAATTATACCCAGATGTACTGGGGATGATCAGCAATGTAGGGACTGGCTTCACATATTATGTTAAGCCATAATGTGGTTTGTTATTTTGATTTAGCATGTTGGTTTACTCAGCAGACTATGGTTATACAAACCATGGCTTAACACAATGCAAACCAGATTTAAAAATGATACTTCTCTTCTCTCACTGAATATTTGTGCTGATAAAAATGTTGGCAGTAATAGTCCACCCTCATTAAGTATGTTTTGTTCCTCAGAAGACTGTCTATTCTGTTGCTGTCCTTTTGTTCTTCTGTGAGGCAGCTTCTGTACCTTTGGGTCATATGAGCATTTTCCTAACGTAAACTGCAAAAAGGTTCCATTTCTGCTTTTGTTAAGACTGCTGTTTTATCTATGTTTCACTCCTATTTGTCTATGAGTCTAATGTTTATAGTGTCCTCCTTTGGCCGCAGCTACAGATTTGAACATTGAGGTAGTCAAGGAAACACTGCAGAGTGTTTGTCAACTTACCAAAACTTTATTAATTACAATTGCTTAATGATTTCACGCATACGCTCCTACCCACCGGCCCTCTACACAATTGATCAGGTAATGCATGAAGGTTGGGGAAGATAGGAGCATTGCATAAATGGTAAAGTCGCATCTTGCATCAGCGTTCCATCATGTGTCATCTCAGCTGAATTTAATTTAGGTTGCTAGGTCAAATGTGATACGCTGGATAGCAGTTAACTTTCTAATCTCCAGTTGTTCTCCTCTGGTCCTTGTCTGATTTCAGAGTTGGTTTTTTAATCTCTTCAGCTTGCTTGCTCAGGTACATGTATGCATTCTTCTCTAGGGTCAGATTTTGGTCATTCTGCTCCATCTGTATTTTCCAACATTTTTAGTTTTTGTAACACCTCTACCTTCAGGGATTAGTGCTGTACCTTCTAAATCCTACAACTCATTCAAAGGTATTTGAACTTCTGAACATCATATAATAGACATGCCAACACTGTATGATATAGTGCTTATGCTGCTGATTTACATATTTCCTTTCTGACCTTCCTTAATAGGGAAGGAGGAGAGGGGAATCAGTGTTTTGACAAAGTGGTAGAATCAGAAGTAACCAAGAAAGCCAATAAAAAGAGAGAGGCAGAGAATGGTATTAAGTAGTGGACAATTTGGAACTTCCTCTTTCAGTGGTACGCTATAGTTTCAAAATTATTTTCTGTGTCACAATATAAGGTACATATAATAACTACATACAGTAGGTATCACTGTGAAATCATGTTGAATTTTGAATTGTCTGTAATAAATTTATCAGAATTTGCAAGCACGTTGCATGTTGTTGAAATCCTCTATGCACAGTTACAAGATTTTGAAAATGTTAAATAGTCAAAAACTATTCAAAGCACTTTGTCACTTTAGTTTCCATCATTAGACTGCCCACAGGAATGATACCTGCCTCTTTCTCAGCACTTGATAAGTCCTATCAGTTTTGACCTACCCCTCTCGATGATCCGTGGGGGGGGGGGGAGTTGGATCCTAGCTGAGAGGGTAAAAACATGACATAAATGGTTGGCAATGGATTTAACTGGTCTCTGAATTTATTCAACAGGTAGTCTGAAAAGTGGCCTCCAAAATGAATTTCTTCCTGGAAACGCTCAGAGTAATTTTGATGTGTATATATTATCTGCTGGAGTTTTTCTTATCGTTTATCTTTGCACGGAAGAAAAACATTGCTGGTGAAATAGTGCTTATAACTGGAGCTGGAAGTGGAATAGGAAGGCTGATGGCTTTAAAATTTGCTCGACTTGGAGCCGTTTTAGTTCTTTGGGATGTTAACCTAGAAGGAAACAAAGAAACAGCTAGATTAGCATGTAAAATTGGGGCTGCAAGAGTACATGAGTACATTTGTGACTGCAGCAAAAGGCAAGAAGTCTATCAAGTGGCAGATCAGGTAACTATATATTGCTGTAGGCTTTGTAGTGCATAAAATATTTTATTTAGCTGTCAAACATTAGTTACATCTGTTACAGTGGCATCCAGATATCATTGGAATCATATATCACGCTAAGCTATAGTTCACTTAACAACCCATAACTGGCTGGATTCACACAGCATGTTAGCAATAAACTATGGCTTATAAACCACAATGGATGGGTTCATGCAACATGCTAAATTAAAATCAAGGCAAACATGTTATAGGTTTGCGTGTGTGAACCCAGTTGTAAGAATGCATAATATGTGGTCCTCCAGATATTGTTGAACCAGAGGTCCCAAGCAGCCCTAGCCAGTATGACCAGTAGTGAAATATTCTGGTGGCTAAAATTCAGAAATACCTGAGGGTTGTACGCTGTATCCTAATTACTTGCATGTATATGACGCCACCAGTTTAATACTACCTGTGCTCTGATTTATTCAAATAACAGTATTTTTCATGGAGACATATGGGGTTGCATTTTGGACCTTCTGCTTGTAAAGCACATGCACCCTAATTGTTAGTGATGCCTTTTCAAACAGCAATGAAGCCCCTGGGTTTACTATAGATCTTTAATGCTGATTGACAAATTGGGTGGGAGGGAATGAAGGTGAAATTTCAGAGAAAAATGTTTTTTCTTGCAACCTCTCCCAGTGTTTTCTCTTCTTTCAAACTTTAAAGAAGTCTACCTTGCTGAACTGTGAAGTGTGACTATAAGTAACAGATGGAATAAGCAGACTGAACCTCCACTTCAAGTAGTGTCTCGTGGTTTGTTAATGTAAACTCTCATGAAGATCTCTTTATATGCAGATTTTTGGGGAGCTGTACTTTCTTTTGAATTATGTAGATTTACTAAAATTTGTTTCAACTTGGGCCTGCTCTGTGGCTGTTCTAGGTGAAAAAGGAAGTTGGTGATGTTAGTATCCTGATTAATAATGCTGGCATCATAACAGGACAGATGTTTTTGGACACCCCAGATATGCTTCTAGAGAAGAGTATTCAAGTGAACACAATGGCACACTTTTGGGTAACAGATTTTTGATTAACTATGAAAGTATATGTGAACTTATATTGTTTTTTTATTAGTAAAAATGGGCTTACAATACAGGTAGTCCTCGACTTACGACAGCAATTGGGACCAGAATTTCCATCGCTAAGTGATGCAGTCATAAAATGTGACTGCTTCTCTTAGCAACAGCAATCCCTGCAGTCCCAGTTGCCATCATTAACTGAATCCCACGGTTGTTAAGCAAGGCAACTTCCTCCCAGTTTCCCAAACCAGAGTCAATGGGGAAGCCAGCAGGAAGTTGCAAGTCCCAGCCCAGCAGGCAAGGTAAGTGGCTGCTTCCAGGTGAAGGAGGGAGTGAGGGGGTACACGAGAGGTGCGGTGAGGGTTGAGGGTGTGGGGAGTGCGCAAGATGCGCAACACGGATCGAGGGAGCGGCATGGGTTGGAGAGGGTGCACAAGGGTGTGAGGGGCTGCGTGAGTGTCTGGCACAAAGTATAAATATAAGTTTGTGAGTGTGCCAACAAAGTAATTTAGGTTCAAATGGCAAGTCTTAGTATTATACTTATCACTATTGTGTTTTAATTAAACAGCAAAAACAACAAATTAACCTAATAAGAATAATCAGTCAGCAGAAAACATTACCTCTTTTAGAAAGAGGAGCAAATCCCCGCTAAAGCCAGAAGGCCATAACATTTCATCCTTAGCAATGTTGCTACTTCCTGGATACTGGTGTTTTGGAAGAAGAGACATAAAAACAGTGGTTATTCCTACATTTTTCATCTTGTTCAGCCTTAATATGGCAATATTAACCAGGAAAGGTGCAAGTATCCACCCCTGCCTGTTCATTTGCATAGCAAAGTGCTCACTGAAATATCACTTGTGCAAGACTCAGTATCCACCATCATGCCACCAGAGGAAAAGTACAGAAAATTAGGAGAATAGCCTCCTTCTATGACAGCCTCTTTGTGTGCTGTACCACCCAGAAAGAAAGTAGATAAGAACAGCATAAAGGCAGCTCTTGAGACTCTCTGATTCACGATGCTGTGACCTCTGTCATCAGATTTATCTTTTTCTTTTTACACTTTCTCCTCTCCTGGAAATGATGGAGTCATAGGAGAAGACATTGCTGAAGAACTGCTAGCTGGAAAGCCTCTCATCTTTTCTCATTGACCAACAGGAGAAATGATTTGATTGTGGAATCAACTGCTTTTTCTTCCAAATTAAAAGTGGCAGTGTTTAACCATGCTTTTTTTTTAAAAAAATGCTTAATTTAAGTTGTAATTTGATTTTTTGAATAAAAACAATTAAGAGTGGAAGAGTCTCTAGACTAAACTTCATTGAGACCTTTTTTGGTAATTGCAAGCCAAAGGTCAGATTTGACTAAAAGATTCTAATTATAAAACTTCAAACTGTTAGTAAATTGTTTCACATTAAAATACTCCAGAACAAAGAGTACTAAGAGTGACAATGAAAATCAATTCAGGTAGGATTCCCTTTCATTGACAGATTTTCTAGCACAGTTATCGTAGAATTTTTAAATCATTATCATACAGGTTTTCTGTCATGTGGTCCTTTTGAGCATAACTGGATCTTATAGAAAATTGGGAGGTGGTGCAATGATATTTACTACGAAAACAGGAATTTTTAAAAGGCATATTGATGAGTCTGGAAAATAAATGCATATTTTTGAATCTACAATTTTCTGTTCATACAAAGGCAAATTAATTTTCCATATCATCTGTTAGAAAACCTTTAAATTATCTCATAGAAGAGAAAAATCCTAACCTTCAGACAGTTATAAAAATGTTTCCTGTAGCACACCGGGTCAACAATGTGCCTCATTCCCAATCCCTTTCAAGGTCATGGTGAAAAAAGAAAGAATTGATAGTTTATATTACATATGCATGAATGTACACATTCATGACAAAAATGATTTTCTTGGAGGAGTGCACTTTGCTAGTGTCTAGGAGTTCAATATGGTAGGATCATGTTCTTTCACAAAAAGGCTGTAGGGTGATCTCTAAGATGTATGAATACTTCAATGAGCCCCTTATCATTTTCACACTATGGAAATCAGGAGTGAGCAACCTGCAGAATGCTAGTAGCCCACTCTTGCTGATCAGCCACAAAATGGTATCTTTAGTAGTGTGTTTCTCCATTTTTAAAACAATTTAAGCTCTACAATTTCCTCTAAAACACATCCTTTCTTAAGCCTTGCCTAGTCCACTATTGTTACTCAACTTGAACTAATGAAAAAAAAAAGTTGCCCACTTCTAATGTGGACCATGTTGGTATTCATTCTTAGCTTTTGTGCTGCTGTAAAAGAATCTAAGAATATTATAGTTATTGTGAGCATGTGATAGAAAGCTGGACAAGTTTTGCTGTAGTGGAACAAATTGGAGGTTTGGGTGAACATACAGGTGAAACTCAAAAAATTAGAATATCGTGCAAATGTTCATTTATGTCAGT